TTAACCACTACTGGCGGCCCCAACCCTATACCCTAACCATTAGGGGCAAGGGGCAACATGAAATCTCCCCTTCACAGAGAGCGGAAAAACTATGCTTGCAGGGGTCCCCTCCAGATAGTCTTAGGAGTAGGTAGTGGAAGGTAAACAAACAGAAGTTGAGAGAAGAATATAGACAGTTGTGATCACCCCAATAAAAAAAAAAAAAAAAAGGACGGGACACGATGTTCAAAAGTGGAACCATTCCGGTCGTGATATCCACCCCACCCCTGCGCGGCTGTAGTGTCCAAACGCAACTCGACACCATGCTCGACTCCCGCGGATGCATCGGCAATTTCGCACACTCAGCCGGATTCACATTACTGAGGCCCGTATTCACATTAGGTGTGAGAAATTGCAGAATCGCAAAATGACAGGAAGGACGACTCGATCTGGCCGCTCATTTTCATTTTGCTACTCTGCTTCTTTTTTTTTTCTTTTTTTTTTTTTGGTTTTGTTTTGGAAGAGATGAGAGACTATCGCCTATGTTTTAAGGACTGGACAAACATTGAACCCTCATTCCCACCTCCCCCCCCCTCGGACTCTGCTATTTTGACGGCTGGTCGAGTCTGGTTATTCACTGATGGGCTCATTTTGCTATTCCGCTATTTTGAAGAGTCGAACAAATGTGATTAGAGTACACTCACACTAGGCCCTCAAAAACACAAAATCCCAAAATGACCGGCCAGGTTGAGTCCTTCAGTTACAAGGACTCCATTTGGCCAGTGGCCACTCAATTTGAGATTTTGCGATTTTGAGGGCCTAGTGTGAGTATGCCCTTATTCCCCCAAGTGGGCTCATTTTGCTTTTCTGCTTTTTGAGGGCCGACGACTGAGTGTGATTATTCACTTAGGGCATGGGCATGCTCACACCAGGCCCTCAAAATCGCAAACTGGCAAAATGAGCGGCCGACTCCATCGGGCTGCTCATTTAGCTGTTCTGCTATTTTGCGGGCCGACTGAGTGTGATTTATTCACTACTAATGCGCTCATTTAAATCATTTTTTGCTATAATTCTGCTGTTTTGCTCGACAACGTAGTGTTATTATTCACTACTAAATTACTAATGGACTCATTTAAATCATTTCGTTATTCTGCTATTTTAAGGGCCCGTTGACTGAGATTATACTGCTATACTGCTGTTTTGCACGACAACGGAGTGCTATTTTAAGGCCCCGTTGAGTGCTATTTTGCTATTCTGCTATTTTAATGGGTCCAGTTACTCCAGTATGAAGATCGTGGCTCCTGTACTCTTCCTGTCACGATGGCCATGCTGCTGTTGCTGCAGGCAATCGACTGCTCTCGAGAGTCGAGAATAGGTGGAGGCAGTTGGTAATGCAAGAGATCGAGTCTGCTCTGCCAGGTGCGCATAGGATGGAATTTACAATTGACATGCAGTTAGTAAAGGAAAAAAAAAAAAGGGTTCAAAATTCAAAATACCGTCACAGAGATGCTGTTAGATGCAATCATCATGTTATGGGCTGCAGCCATCATTCAAAAAGCGAGAGAGATGCGGACTCTTGAGCGGGGCATGCCGCGGTACACATAGATAAAGTCAAGGGCAGTATTTGCTACTGCAAGTTGTATATCTTCTTGATTGGGAATCCTCTGCTCAATCCGAGGGAGTGCAGCAGAGGGCCGGCGAGAACTAATACACTGATTGGCTCGCACTGATCTCTCTCTCTCTCTCTCTCTCTCTCTCTCTCTCTCTCTCTCTCTCTCTCTCTCTCAGAGCGTGGGTGTGTTGTCAGGTTCGCTATACTCAACTCCACGAAAAGTAGTACGACTTTGCCAGACTGTTTCGTTGGACTCTCTCTCTCTCTCTCTCTCTCTCTCTCTCTCTCTCTCTCTCAGAGTGTGTGTGTTGTCAGGTTCGCTATA